TCTATCAAATCGATGAGCGCAGGAAGAAGCTGGTGAGGGAACTCAACCCTGCCAGAGGATGCCTTACTGGGCCCTGTATGGACTTCATACCCCAGGAGAGCAAAGACCCTTAGGGTTTTTACCGATGGAGACTTTTTTTTTTTTTAGGGCAAACAGAGTCTGTTGCCCCTGAGAAAAGCAGAAAAGAGATTCCTTATCTTCCCTTTCAAGGCCTCTATCCAGGCCTCAGAAATGCGAAATGTGGTGAGACTGGATCAGGGATGGATGGCGCCTTGTCTGGGGATGGGCGGAGCCTTGTCTGGGGATGGGCGGAGCCTTGTCTGGGGATGGGCGGAGCCTTGTCTGGGGATGGGCGGAGCCTTGTCTGGGGATGGGCGGAGCCTTGTCTGGGGATGGGCGGAGCCTTGTCTGGGGATGGGCGGAGCCTTGTCTGGGGATGGGCGGAGCCTTGTCTGGGGATGGGCGGAGCCTTGTCTGGGGATGGGCGGAGCCTTGTCTGGGGATGGGTGTAGCCTTGTCTGGGGATGGGCGGAGCCTTGTCTGGGGATGGGCGGAGCCTTGTCTGGGGATGGGCGGAGTCTTGTCTGGGGATGGGCGGAGCCTTGTCTGGGGATGGGTGGAGTCTTGTCTGGGGATGGGCGGAGCCTTGTCTGGGGATGGGCGGAGCCTTGTCTGGGGATGGGCGGAGCCTTGTCTGGGGATGGTGGAGCCTTTCTGGGGATGGGTGGAGCCTTGTCTGGGGATGGGTGGAGCCTTGTCTGGGGATGATGGGTGGAACCTTGCAGGTAGGACTCTGAGGCTGGAGGGCAAAGGGCAGAGAACACTCCAAGCTCCAAGCCAGAGCAGGGGGCACCCAACCCTACCCCCCTGGGCTCCCCGCAGGCAAGGGAGCTCCTAGAGACACTGCCTGTCCTGCTCCTGCTGCTGGTGCTGTGTGGGCTCGACTGGGCACTCTACTCCGTCTTCGACGCCATCCGCCGGCATTCCTTCTTGCAGTATTCCTTCCGCAGTGAGCCTGGGCCCGGGGCCAGCCCGAGTGACGAGCCCCTCCTGCAAAACCTACCTCTACCGCTTCCTTGTCTGCGGCCTTGCCCTCCTCCTCCCAAGTCCAACCTCAGCCCCGTAATTACCGCTCTTACCCGAAACCCTCTCTCCCTCCACTCCGACCAGGCAGTCACAAACTGGAGGTGAAGGTTGAGGGGGATTCCATGCTGGCCAGGCTTCTTCGCAAAACCATTGGAGCCCTGAACACCACCTCGGACACAGCCGTGGAATCTAACAACATGCGTGAGTGATGCAGAAGGCTGGCATCTGTGGACTCTAGGGCGGGGTGCAACCAGGAGACAATGGGGTCGGGCCGAAGATGATTTTGGAAAGGGTGAGAAGAGGTTTGGTATGCTCGAACTGGAAAAGGCAGAGAAGAGCTTGGCTCAGAGAAAACTGGTTGCCAGCCTTCGGAGGGGGTGGGGGACAGATAGTAAGTAGCTATGGTATTGACAGAGAAGCTAGGCAAGAAGGAGGAGAAGAGGAGTTGGGGGGAGTTAAACTGGAAACCCACGTGTACCTTCCACTGGGGTGGGGAGACCAACTCAGTGCTACCCTGTCAGGGTGAGCTGGCCCTGACCAGATTGCTCACAGCCTGCCTCCCATCCCCCCCCTTACCCCCCAGCCTGCCTGCCCCAGCCCATAGGCCTGGATGCCAGGGGCTACTGGAGAGCATCACTGCCAACCATCCTGCTTGTGTGTCTCTGCCTAGTCCAAGCTTTTGGCTACAGGCTCCGGAGAGTCATTGCAGCCTTCTACTTCCCCAAGGTGAACTCTCGAATAACAACTCCACCCCTAAACACACACACACACACACACACACACACACACACACACACACACACACACACGCACGCACGCACACACCTCCCAGTCCTGTGTCCCTCCCTCCCCGGCTATCACTATCATGAGTTTCTTGTTCCCCACCCAACCCCTCAGCGAGAGAAGAAGCGGGTTCTGTTCCTCTACAATGAGTTACTGAGGAAGAGGGCAGCTTTCACTAAATTGAGGAGGGCCGCCATTGTTCGACGGGCACATCAGCAGAGGGCCCCGGTAAGCACAGTCCGGGCGAGCGAGCCTGCCAGCTCTAGGCTGGGTCTGAAGACTCTCAGAGAAGGGGCATCTCTTTCAGTACCCTCAGCACCCTCAGTGTCCCAGGACACTTGGAGCTGAGTGGGTCTGGCAGGCTGCAGGCTGCAGGCTCCAGCTTCTGGAAGTCGAGGCTGTGTCTTTGTCTGAACCCCTGTCCTCAGCACAGCCCGAGACAAGCAGTGGCCTTTTAGGAAGTGGCAGAAAGGGGAAGGAAGTCAATGGGACTGGTCTGTTTGTAGGAAAGGAAGCAGCAGGATCAGAAAGAGGCCGCTGCTGACAAGCCCAAGGTGGTTCCGGAAAAGGGAGAGGAGGCAGGTGGTGGGGGCGGGGGCGGGTAGGAGGGCTCCATAAAGGAACGTGTGATCTCTGGAAGACACAGAGTCAAAACTAGGTCTGAATCCACACTTCCATAAGCTGTAGGAGCCTGTGGTCCTCACTCATGTCGAAGGATGGGGCCTGTAGCCAGGTCTGTGAGACCGTTCTTCAGAGGGTAAGAAGGGTACTGAGTGACAAAGCAGCCTCGGTTTAAATCCAGCTCCCTCCCTGCCATTCCACGACGGCTGTGGGACCTCGAGTGCCCTTCTCAGGTGCTGGGCCTTGCTTTCTCATTTCTGTGAGACGGCGTTAACTGCTTCATTTGTTCAGTTGTGACGATGACTGTTTCACTTCCGTGACGCTGGTATGAGAATAACATTCCACATGCGTGTCAGGCGCCACTGTATGGCGCTGCATGCCTGGAGCCAACAGCTTCTTCACCCGAAGGACAGGTGGTAATAGTAACAGTAAACACAGCCGGGCGGTGGCGCACGCCTTTAGTCCCAGCACGCAGGAGGCACAGGCAGGTGGATCCCTGTGAGTTCGAGGCCAGCCTGGGCTACACAGAGAAACCCTGTTTAAAAACGAAACAATAACAACAACAAAATAACAGTAAACGATCATGCACACGCACGCAGGGCCTGCATGCCCACCCAGGGAGGGGCGCTGGGAATGGATGGAATAGACGGCATGAGCTCTGCTGCCAAGCTAGTTATTTACTCCGGAACAGTCTCTTTTTGTGGGTACCAGCATTATAAGCAGAACAGTGGGGCTGGTAAGACAGCTAAGTGATAAAGGTACCTGCCACCACGCCTGATGACCGGAGCTCAGTCCCACCCACATGCTAGAAGGAAAGGACTCCCACAAGTTGTCCTCCGACTGCCACACATGCCCCATGGCACACGTAAACATGGCATCCAGGATGGGATCCCTTGACCTTGGTCCTGAAGTAAACTGAACCCGAATGGCTAGATGAGGTAGGAGGGATATGTATTCTAAGCTCAAGGAACAGGAGGTGAAAAAAATCAGAGACCCAAGGGAATGCCAAGACCAAAGGCTAAGTAAACTAAGGAAAAGCAACACACACACACACATAGGGCAGGACCTGGGAGGTGGAGCAAGACTACAAAGAAACAGATCTTGGAGCGCTCTGAAGGCCAAGCCCAGATCTGTCAGGCAGTGGGGCCCCTAGGATTTCTTAAGCAATGGCCAGTGAAGGACTCCTGGCATCGTATGAAGAGGGTGTTTGGAAAGCGGATACCGAGCCTAATGATAGCAAACTTTATGATTTAGTTCCTGCCAGGTTTGACTGAGATCTGACTCATGAAAGACACACCATCTAAGTTTGTTTTTTTTTTTAAGATTAAAAACACTTTCATTTATTTATTGCAAACGGGTGTTTTGCCTACACACATGTCTGTGCACCTACCTCCTGAGTGGCTGGTGCCCAGGGAGGCCAGGAAACCATCAGATCCCCCGGGGGGTTACAGACAATTGTTAGCTGGGACTCAAACCCGGGCCCTCTGGGACACCAGGCTGAGAGCCATCTCTCCAACCCTCCTATAAGGTGTAAGTAATCATAGTCTGTCTGCCGTACTCCTTCTAAGTCTCACTGTAAGAATCAAATTAAGCCGGGCAGTGGTGGCACACGCCTTTACTCCCAGCACTCGGGAGACAGAGCCAGGCGGATCTCTGTGAGTTCGAAGCCAGCCTGGGCTACAGAGTGAGATCCAAGACAGGCACCAAAACTACACTAAGAAACCCTGTCTCGAAAAACCAAAACAAAACAAAAAATCAAATTAGGCTGCTGTACAGGTGCACATTTTAGCGGCTGCGGGTTACCCTCCGGGAGAGTTTCTGCATTCCATCATGAAGGAAAAGGAGGCTCTTTTAAGACTCACTTCCAAAGCACCCTCGCCCTCCAGGGCTCTTCTGGTTCACCCCAGCTTCCTCCAACAAGCCACTGTCAGCCAGGCCTTGGGACCTGAGACAGTAAGAGCTGCCCAGGGCTCCGGACAGCCCTTCCCGCTCAGCCCACCTGGCGTTAACCAACCCACCTCGCCTCCCAACAGCGCCACCACCTGGTGGACACTCTGTACCGCCGGTGCCCTCTCCTGCGCCGCTTGACGCGTCGGCGCTGCGTCGTGTGCCAGGCACCGGAGACGCCCGAGTCCTACGTGTGCCCCACTCCGGACTGTCAGGCCGTGTACTGCCAGTCGTGCTGGGACGACATGCGACGGCGGTGCCCGGCGTGCACGCCCGTCGAGGAGCTCTCTTCCTCCGCCTACAGCGACAGCAACGACGACGCCGTCTACGGCGAGTGAAGAAGGGATGCTGCTCGCCTTCTTGCTCAATAAAGTGTGATGCACGCTCCTGCGGCTTTGGCGCTTCGCGGGGCTCGGGGACTGGGCCGGGCCACAGAGCCGAGGCCGGACCGCGGCGGGGAGGCGCGAGCCACGCCGCCGATCCCGGTAGCCGCGGCCGGAAAGAGGCTGCGCTGGGCGGCAGGGGCGGGGCCTCGGGGGCGGCGGACGGGGCGAGGCGGGGCCTAGTGGCTGCGCTGCGCGGAGCTGGTGTCCGACCCGGCGGCGGCGGCGGCGGCGGCGGCGGCTCCTCCACGCGTGGCCCCGCACCTGCTGCCCCCGTCCGGCCCGGAGCTCCGCGGCTATGCGGCTGGCGCTGCTCTGGGCCCTGGGACTCCTGGGCGCGGGCAGCCCTCGGCCCTCCCCGCCGCTCCCAAACATAGGTGAGTGCCCAGGAAGGAGTGGGGTCGAGGGGGTGACCGGGAAGAGATACACGGAAAGCCAGAGAAGCCTTGGGGTGCTGGGGTCTGCCAGAGCCTAACCAGGGCGCAGCTTGCCTGGTTTGCTGACCAAGGCCTAGGGCTGGTGATTTGGCGAGGGAATGGAGAAGGGAGGAGGAGGAGGAGGAGGAGGATGCTGGCGTCCCCTATCCAGAAGTCCGGAGTGGTCCCCGCAGACACCTTCGGGCTCCGCGCTGAGAGGTCCTGCCCAGCGCCCCTCAGAATCATGGAAAGAGTCACTTCTCAGGACTGACGTCTTCGTCTCTCTAGGGCCTAGCTGACAGTTCCACTCCGTGTAGTGCCCGGAATAGGCACGGCTCGTGGGCTTTAGTGAAAAGGATGATTTCCAGCCGTTCGTTCCACATCTGGGCGGCCAACACCGCTCACCCTGGTGGGGTGGCCACGAGAAGTCTGGCCGAGCGGGAGGGGCCCCGGAGGAGCCAGGGGAGGGAGCACTTGCCAGGAAAGAGTCTGGGACACCAACTCCTCCTTGGAACTTTCACTTCCCGCTGCTGTCTTGGGCTGGGGGCCGAGAGGGTAGGCGGGGGTGGAGTGTCCGGAGGGGAGAGGGCCATTGTTGGGGGGTGCTGGCGGAGGAAGCGGAGGCTGTTGGGAACGGGTGCGCCTGACTGGGCATCAAGGCTGTTTAGGGAGGTCGGAGTGTTTGCACTGCTCACCCAGGGATGGGCGTTCCCAGCATCTCTTATGTGAAGGAAAGGAAGGGCAAGTGGGCACCAGGCCACAAGGCTGCTCCCAGTCCTAAGAAAGCGCATTCCTGATTGGGTGGGGGGGGGTGTGATTAAGAAGGGATGGGAAAGGGACGGTCCCTGCGAGAACCTGGGATTGGCCAGGGGCTGCAAGCAGGATAGACTGAACTCTCTTCAGGGACTTGTGGATGAAATCGGCAAGTTGGGGATTTTCAGTATCCTCCTTGAGATCCCAGCATGCAGGGCAGGAGCCCTTAAGTCACTGAGAGGCCGTGATGTGCTGGAGTTGGTGGGTCTGAGGGCACCAGTCACCCCAGCCTTGCCAAGGATTCCCTCAGCAATCTCTGAGGATGTTCTGGGACCCTGCAGGAGGCACTGGAGAGCAGCAGCAAGCCAAACCAGAGAGGGCCCTGAGTGGATCCTTGGAGAGGCAGGTCGTTCAGGACAGTCCCCCAGTTGGCCTAGCAGAATTGCTTCAGGTGAGTCCCCACCCATCCTGCTGATAACATATTTTCTCACACTTCACATTATTAATCATCTTGAGGCCAAAGTTTGGCTAAACAGCCAGTGAACAGACTTTGTAGCAGGTCCCTCAGCATCAGGCTACACTGAGCCCCCTTCCCCTCTACACATCTGTCTGCCTCAGCCCCAGTCGGCCCATCCATGTACGCTGGGAGAATGTTACTACATCTCCTCCTTTCATCTCATGCTGTTCATTTTCTCAGTAGGGAGAGGGACAGATGGACAGACAGACAGACAGACAACACACACACACACACACACACACACACACACACACACACACACACACACACACACTGCAGCTGAGTCAGAGGAAGGGCTGGGACCTGTGCCGGGTCCTTCATGATGCTTCCTCTCTGGGCAGGAAGCCGAGAAGGGGGTGGCTCAGATACCTTCCTTGACCTCCCCACACAAGCCCCTAGAACAATGCCCAGTCCAGGCAGGGCTTCCTGGTCCCTCCCTTGGGATCCCCTCAACCAGTGACCTAATCATTGGTACTCTCCCGAGAGCATGAGGTTTTCTAGTTATAGAGGGTAGGAGTGGTGGGCAGGGCTAGTGGAGGTGAGACATGCCTCTGGTGTTCACAGACTGGTCTACCTGAAGCCCTGAGGGTCGAAGTGGAGCTGGACGGTGAAAGTCATGTCCTGGAGCTTCTACAGAATAGGTAAGGTGGCAGATATGAGTCATCACGGGAAGGGTTTACATACATTTATTATGCACCAGGTACTAAGTGCCTACCCTCATGGACTCCTTCACAACAGTCCTGTAAGGTAGATACTTATTATGCAGTTATCCTTATTTAACATGGGAAGAAGTTAAAGCCCAGAGAAATTAAATTAACTTGCTTGAGTCCATACAGTCATGTATATCTCAAAAATCCTATTGGAACACAGAAAGGATGGAGGAGACAGCAGCCCAACCTTTGGACTCTGTGGCCTCAGAGGAACTGAGGAGTTTGGGGGCATTGCCTGGTCCCTAACATGGTCCTTGCCACCCCACTAGCTTGTCACCGCAAGTCCCTAGGAAGTGGCTCAGACACGGCCTTGCTTTTGTCACAGAGATCTAGTCCCTGGCCGCCCAACTCTGGTGTGGTACCAGCCTGATGGCACCCGAGTGGTCAGTGAGGGGCACAGTCTGGTGAGTCGGGCCCTCTTCTGCTGTTTCTGGCCTGGGCAGAGGAGGGGAGGAGGAGGGGAGGTGGCAGTCCTGGAGGAAGTGGGAGGGCACTTTGCTGGCAAGCTGGACTCCAGGGTTCTCCAGTCTTCCCTGCAAGCGGGTGCTAGCGAATGTGGCTTCCCTGCTGTAGGAAAACTGCTGCTACCGAGGTGATGTGCAGGGCCGCCCCGGCTCATGGGTCTCCCTCTGTGCCTGCGCCGGGATCAGGTACTGTGGGTGGGTTTGACATCCCCGAAGAGGATACCCAAGCAGGGACCCGAAATGCTCTCTGACTCCGGCTTCTTCCTTAGGGGGTTGGTGGTCCTGTCCCCAGAGAGAAGCTATGCACTGGAGCCGGGGCCTGGAGACCTTCAGGGTCCTCCCATTGTTTCTCGGACCCAAGACCTCCTCCTGCCAGGCCACACCTGTGCCCCAAGCTGGCATACACCTGTGCCCACTCAAGCTGGACCGGACCTTCTTCTGGGACAGCAGCACTTTCACAGGGTGAGGAGGCATGGAAGCAGCCCTGGGCTGACTCGGAGCCCAGTTCAGGGTGACAGTAGCTCCGTCCTCCTCGGCTCGTCCCAGCGACCCGAGAAGGCAGATGCTGCCAGGAGCTCTCTCTTCAGATGAAGAGACAGCATGGTTAGAGGACTCGCCCGAGGCCGTACACTCGTAAACAGTATATGTGAGATTCAGAAGCAGGCTTCATCCCAAATACCTCCTCTATCTTCTAGGCCCATTGCAGAGGGCTTTCACTTGAGTAGACACTTCCACCTAGAAAGCAATACAAACACAATTTCTTAATTTACCAAGGTGGAGATTACAGTACAGTGTGAAAATCAGGGTCAAGTGATATGTCAAGTGCTTAGAACTGCACCTGGAATAGTGTATTTCATAGTATCAGCTATTGTTTAGTTGGTTTTTTGTTTCTCTTTTTGAGACAAGGTCTCACTGTGTAGCCCTGGCTGGCTGGGTGGAAACTTGCTTTGTAGACCAGGCTGGCCTTGAACTCACAGAGATCCACTGCCTCTGTCTCCCAAGTGCTGGGATTAAAGACATGCACCACTATGCCTGGCTTTAGTTATTATTTTTAAACATTGAAAGGAGCCAGGTTTGGCGGCACGCAAATCCTAGCAGTTGTTTGGGAAGTGGAGGCAGGAGGATATTGAGTTCACTGCCAGCCTGAGCTGTACAAGACACTGTCTCAAAACACCAAAAGCCGGGTTTTTGTTTTTAACCAGAAGCCGCAGCGTTTGGAGTGGGGAAAGTGGGGTCCTATGACCAGCTTCATCTATTTTTGGTCCAGGACGGGCAGGTCTCTGGCCTCTCGGGCTTCCCATGAGGTCTCCATCCTCTGACTACGCAGAGTGGGCCTGAACACAGCTCGCTCAGCCTGAGGCCATGGCCCTCGGGGGGATCTGCCTGACACGCCCCCCATCTTCTCCACAGCTTAAGCGGGATGTTGTAACAGAGACCAAAACGGTTGAGCTGGTGATTGTGGCTGACAACTCGGAGGTGAGTGTACTGACCCCAGAGCCCGCTGCCACTCACCCTGCCCCCACTTTCCCACCGTATTGTATTTCAAGGGAGCCCCTCTTGACCCCCAGGTCAGAAAGTACCCTGACTTCCAACAGCTGCTGAACCGAACGCTGGAAGTGGCCCTCCTGCTCGACACAGTGAGTTTGGGCTGGGCAGGAGTCCCGCAGCTCCCCCGCTGCAGGCCCGGCCCCTTTACTGAGTCCCAGCTCTTTCAGTTCTTCCAGCCCTTGAAGGTCCGGGTAGCCCTTGTGGGCCTAGAGGCATGGACCCAGCAGGACCAGATAGAGATGAGCTCCAACCCAGCTGTCCTGCTAGACAACTTCCTCCGCTGGCGCCGGACGGACCTGCTGCCTCGGCTGCCCCACGATAGTGCCCAGCTGATGACGTAAGGACCCCAGGCTCAGCTCCTGGGACCCTGTGCTAGCTTGTCGGCGCCCAGCTCATATCCCTTCAAGTCCTCCGGAGCTCCGACGATGGCTTTAGACCCTGATCTCTCACCTCTGTCCCACAGTGGTACTTCTTTCTCTGGGCCCATGGTGGGCATGGCCATTCAGAACTCCATCTGTTCCCCCGACTTCTCAGGAGGTGTGAATATGGTAAGTTACCTGCGGGTCTCCTCATTTCCAGGTACACATCTCCTGTGCATGGAGCCTTTACTCACTGAAAGCTCCCTTCAGACTTCCCCAGCCTCAAAGCTGTGCCCAAAGAGGGTAGAGTCGCCAGGCCGCGGTGGTGCGCGCCTTTAATCCCAGCACTCAGGAGGCAGAGGCAGGAGGATCTCTGTGAGTTTGAGTCCAGTCTGATCCACAGAGTGAGATCCACGATAGGCTCCAAAACTACATGGAGAAGCCCTGTCTCGAAAAACCAAAAAAAAAAAAAGAGGGTAGAGTCCACGAAGTGGCCTTGACTTGTCAGGGGACGCGTTTGTGGCCAGTTTATCGTAGTATACAGAGCTGTCATTTATGACACCTTGGCATTTCTGAGGCCCACGGGCAGAGGGGCTATACAGTGTGTGTTGGGGGTAGGGGGGTGTAGTACAGAGTTGAGCTAGAACTTAAGATTTCCTGTCACGCAGGCTCGGACTTGCCTACTTTAGAAGCAGTTAAGGAGGAAGGCAGGATCCAGGAGAGTGGATGAGGAGGGAACGGGGGAGCCAGGGGTCCACTGTATTGAGTCCGGGCTGGGGTTGGAGCTGGGGTTATCTCCCTCCCCAATGACAGGACCACTCCACAAGCATCTTAGGAGTTGCCTCCTCAATCGCCCATGAGTTGGGCCACAGCCTGGGTCTAGACCATGATTCACCTGGGAGCAGTTGTCCCTGTCCAGGTCCGGCCCCAGCCAAGAGCTGCATCATGGAAGCCTCCACAGAGTGAGTAACTGGGACGAGGGGGGGGGGCAGGGTGAGTTAGGATGCAGGAGGGTAAGGCAAGCTAGGAGAGCTTCTAGCCCACCCCCCTCTTGCCCCTCTCCCCAGTTTCCTACCAGGTTTGAACTTCAGCAACTGCAGCCGACAGGCCCTGGAAAAAGCCCTCCTCGATGGGATGGGCAGCTGCCTCTTTGAACGGCTGCCCAGCCTGGCCCCCATGTCCTCTTTGTGTGGAAATATGTTTGTGGACCCTGGCGAGCAGTGTGACTGTGGCTTCCCAGATGTGAGCCCCTGACCCGAAGCCTTGCCCACGCCCAGCTGCGCTTTCATCCTGACTTTTCAGCCCTTCCTAAGTCTCCTGAGTAGCCTTCTGAGGGGGTCTTCCTGTCTTCTCTGGTTCTCATTCACTGTGTGGCGCTGACACCTGGGTTTGCTCTCCGGGAGGTTGGGAGGGCTTGCGCACCAGGCGGGCGGGTGCTGCTCTGAGACTCAGCTCCCCCTGGCCCCTTGCCTGCAGGAATGCACCGATCCTTGCTGTGACTACTTCACCTGCCAGCTGAGGCCAGGAGCACAGTGTGCCTCTGATGGACCCTGCTGTCAGAACTGCAAGGTGGGCACAGACCGGAGACCAGCCGCCCGGGAGCTCACCGGCCAGGTGACAGGGTCCAAGAGTCATTCTGACCTTTGTGATCCTGAGCTCCTGGCTGAATCTTTCCAGTACCCACTTTGACGTTGACCACCCTCCACAGTTGCACCCAGCCGGCTGGCAGTGCCGCCCTCGAAGAGATGATTGTGATTTGCCCGAGTTCTGCCCAGGAGACAGTTCCCAGTGCCCCGCTGACCTCAGGCTGGGGGACGGTGAACCCTGTGCTGACGGACAGGCTGTGTGTATGCACGGGCGCTGTGCCTCCTACGCCCAGCAGTGCCAGTCGCTCTGGGGACCTGGGGCCCAGCCTGCTGCACCACTTTGCCTCCAGACAGCCAACACTCGGGGTAATGCCTTCGGGAGCTGTGGGCGCAGCCCCAACGGCAGCTACGTGCCCTGCGCCCCTAGGTAAGTGGAGAAAACAGGCTCCGCCTGAGTGTGTGGGAACCTGGGTGCTGCTTCTGCCGACCCTGCTTGCCTGTCTCTCTGCCCCTAGAGATGCCGTTTGTGGACAGCTTCAGTGCCAGTGGGGGAGGACCCAGCCTCTGCTGGGCTCAGCCCAAGACCTGCTCTCGGAGGTCCTGGAAGCCAATGGGATGCAGCTGGACTGCAGCTGGGTGCACCTGGACCTGGGCAATGATGTGGCTCAGCCCCTCCTGGCTCTGCCTGGCACTGCCTGTGGCCCTGGCCTGGTGAGTAGCCTGGGTGGTTGAGACCAGGTGGGAAGGAACACCTGAAATACAGCAACCTGTGCCCAGGCTTCCCCCCCCACCCCAGTTGTCAAGGGCAGAGGCTTCACGGAGGCCAGTTTCTTCAGCGGTCTTGTTCAGTTTCACAGCTGTAAAGGATAGCCTTACAGCTTTGCAGGTCCGTCCCTGGAAGCCCCTGTGAGGGTGCGACCTTGGCTCTTCTCTCTATGGAACAGGTGTGCATCGACCATCGATGCCAGCCCGTGGATCTCCTGGGAGCACAGGAGTGTCGGAGCAAATGCCATGGCCATGGGGTGAGCTGGGTGGAGGAGATGGAAGGGGAGGGGAGCCTGCTGAAGGGGAAGGGGACTTTGGAGGCAGACATACCCTGGCTTCAGTCTTTCCCACTTCCTGGGAGTGTGTTATCAACTTACCCATACCCTGGAGGGCATGAAATGGGTATGAAAGCTGCTAACTAGTGACCAGCATATTAAAGGGGTTAGCTTGCTGTCATTTCCCCTGGCATGGATAAAGACTTCCTCCCTCCAGGAGGGAGGTTGTGTCTACCCATAATCTACAGCATTCCCATCAGTTTGAGAAGTCTGAGCTCTTGAAAAGCTAAATGAAGGCCAGTGGTGGGGGCGCATGCCTTTAGTCACAGCACTCGGGAAGCAGAGGCAGATGGATCTCTGAGTCTGAAGCCAGCCTGGTCCAGGACAGCCAGGGCTACCCAGAGAAATCTGGTCTTTAAAAAAAAAAAAGGAAAGCCAGATACAGGGAAATGGTCACATCTCACAGATGCCTTCATCGCTTGCTCTGTACCTCCAGGTCTGTGACAGCAGCAGACACTGCCACTGTGAGGAGGGCTGGGCACCTCCTGACTGCGTGACTCAGCTCAGAGGTAGCCAGGAGAGGGGCCCGTGGCACTGGGGAGGGCGAACCGGCTCCACCCATTACCCTTCTTGGTCCTCTTCCTGAGTTCCTAGGCATACCCACCCTCAGTGTGACCTCTGTTCATAGCAACCAGCTCCCTGACCACGGGCCTGCTCCTCAGCCTCCTGTTGTTGGTGGTCCTAGCCCTCCTTGGTGCCAGCTACTGGCACCGAGCCCGCCTGCATCAGCGGCTCTGCCAGCTCAAGGGATCCAGCTGCCAGTATAGGTACGAACACCCTTCCCTGATGTTGTCTCCTTCAACTCAGGGCAGTTCTGAAGCCCTGCTTCCTTCTTGTTTGTTTCGGTTTTCGAGACAGGGTTTCTCTGTGTCTCCCTGGCTGTCCTGGAACTCTCTCTGTAGACCAGGCTGGCCTCGAACTCACAGATCCGCCTGCCTCTGCCTCCCGAGTGCTGGGATTAAAGGCGTGCTCACCACCACTGCCTGGCTTTTAAGCCCCTGCTTCTAAAGGCCCCAGCCATACAGTCCTTAGCCCCTATTTCTAAATCCCAAACTCTCAGACTCTGGATTTCCTGACCACCGTTCCCACACACTATCTACCATCTCTACATGTATCCCTTAACTTCACCCCAGGTACTAAGGCCACTTCACTCGGGACCCCAAAGTAGGGGGAAAAGTAGCCTTCTCCCAGGCTGGCCAGCCACATCCCTGGCCTAAACCACACAAAGCTACCCTCCAAGGGCTAAAGGGTTAATACCTCCCAGATCATCAGGTGGGTGGCTAGTCCCATTCTCTCTTTGGCTTTCTTCATACTCAGGGCAGCCCAACCAAATCCTCCTGAACGGCCAGGACCTCCACAGCGGGCACAGCCGATGCCAGGCGCTAAGGTAAGCCCTGGATGGCAGAGCAAAGAGAGTCCACATTATTTGCGCCTACCTTGGGCCTAGAGGTAGCCTAAAGATTCAAGACTCAATAAAAGACTCGGAGTGCTCCATCAGTCCGAGGAGTTAGGACAGCAAGAGTGGCAGGGCCAGTCACCCCAGGAGGCTCTGCTGAGCTCTTTCAGCTGGCCAAATTGGTAGCTTTGAGAGATGGTTCTATGCATACCCGTCAGCAACCAATGCCATGGGATAATAGGGTGGTGGGCAAAAGAGCCTTCAGTATGCTAAGATCTGACAAGGCCCAGGACATCACGTGTGGAAGGCTGCAGAATGCCCAGGGCCCTCTACCTTTAACGGCAGGAGGGTGTGCATGGAGTCAGCCTGCATGTCCTCATATTACATGTCACTCCTCTGCATGTAGCTGAGAAGCTTCCCACTGCCTCTGGGACTCTGCTGCCCTGGTCTGAACACTAACCCCTTTCTGCCCACATCTGTCTGTTTCCTCTTGCCCACTCTGCCTGTCTGCTCCTCCTGCCTTCTCAGCAAGCTAGTGCCATCATCTTGCCGGTGCCCCCCTCCAGGCCGCTGCCACCTAACCCTGTGCCCAAGAAACTCCAGGTAAATCTGGGCTGGGCCTTGCCCTGGCTCAGGACAGGTGGGAGGCTAGAAGCCCGGTCCCAGTTCTCATCCCTGCTTCCCCCCAGTGGTGTTCTTCATTAGGAGACCAGGGTGCCCCCTCCGCCTTCAAAGTCCCAGAAGCAGCAGAGTGAGCCTCCCGCCATGGTCTCTACTACCACCTGGTGGTCACTAGTGGGACTACAGCCATCCAGGGACTCCATGATTGATCCGCACCTTCCTTCCCTGAGGCTCCTGTCTATTGGCAAGCACCCAAAGCCCCCTGCGCATGCTCCCGTTTTCCCTCGACCCCCCTGGCTGACTTTGCACGCTGACCCCTGGGGAGCCTCTGCATGCTCACTTGCCTTGACTGCTCTCAGAATCACCGCTCCTCTCTTTGTTCAGGCTGAGCTGGCTGAGCGATCCAATCCCCCCACTCGCCCTCTGCCCGCTGACCCTGTGGTGAGGCACCCAAAGGTAACAGTGAGGGGAAAGCAGGGCATTGCCTCCCCGACCTAGAACCATGGTGGCCACACAGGATGCCTCCCCCTGTGCCTCAGGGCAGGTAACCCCGTGGCACCTCTGGTAGTGACAGGTTTGTTTGGAGACAAAGGTGACCACTAGCACTGCTCCTAGAACCGCTCCATCGAGGGTGGGAATCATGACATCCTTCCAAACTGGTCTTCTCTCTCAGTCTCAGGGGCCCGCCAAACCCCCACCCCCAAGAAAGCCACTGCCTGCCAACCCACAGGGCCGGCACCCATCAGGTGACCTGTCGGGTCCAGGGGACGGGAGCATGCAGCTGGTGGTGCCCTCCAGGTAGGTGAGGAGCGGGTTGCTGGGGATGGCTGTCTTAGAGTGAGGCAGCCAGGGCAAGCTCTTTGACTATTTTTTTAAATTTTTTTCCTTGGCTTTCTAAACTCCAGGCCAGCTCCACCACCCCCAGCAGTACCCTCGCTCTACCTCTGACCGCTCTTGAGACTTGGCTGACTCCCGCCCAGATTTAAGACTTAAAGAAGTGCAATCTCGGCCGCTGCCGCCCCTCCCCCCGACAAATGACTAGAGGAGCAGGAGGAGCCCTAGACAATGCAGTGTCCAGCCTAAGGAACCACCCACCATCAGGCGCTGTTAAGCAACACCTGGGGACCCACCAAAATAGCTGCACCTGGCTGCTGGGGAGGGGCCGGGGCCGGAGTAGGTGGCGGCGGGGCATGCACACAATCTGTCTTTGCTCTTTTGTAATAAATGTGAGATCTTGGAATGTGGCTCCTGGAAGCTGGGTAGTTCCTGTTGTTTCTAGGTCTGGCCACTAGGAGACGCTGCTGAGTCAGACCAGGGCCTGTTGGGGAGTATGACATCCCAGAAAGGGTCAACTAGAATTTGTCACTGGGGATGCTTATAGCTTGTTTCTGCCCAGCCTTGGATGGCCTCTAGTTTCCAAGTGCTCGGTGCCAATGCTGTTCAGCCCCGCGCCACAGCTACAGACAAATGACCTAAGTCGTCAGACCTGCATCCCCACCCCTCTGACCATGGCTGGGAAAATGGATCTAACTGGTGTTCTCAGAGCCCTGAGCCTGGGCGGAGCAGGGCAGCAACTGCTTGGATTCCAAGGCTTCACACCTGCCTCCTCCACCTCCCTGCCCCCACCCGAAGGCGCTAGAACAAAGGTGCTTTGTGCCTTGTACAGATTGCTACTACCTCATCACTTGGTCCTCAGGACTGAGGCCTCCCGGGAGAGGGAAGATGGGGGGTGGGGGGGATAAGAGGCAGGCTCTTCCCCAAAGTGGTCACCCAGTATGACACCTCAGGCTCTAGAGGACTGGGGGTGTCCCCAGAGGCACTTCATGCCTTGCCCTTGCACCAATCCTCTGGATGCGCAAAGAAAAGAGCAATACACAGGAGTGATTCTTCTGCTTCAGCCTCCAAAAATATCTGGGGTTTCAGGTGCTGGCCAGTGCGTGTGTGTGTGTGTGTGTGTGTGTGTGTGTGTGTGTGTGTGTGCATGCGCGCTATCCTGAGTGTAGTTCAAGCTGACTGGAACTCTGGATTCTTCTGGGACATTCTCCCAGTACTGAGACTGTTTGTAATTGCATATGCAGTCCAGCTCGGGCCTCCCAGACTTTCAATAAGGCTTTCTACCTTGAACTAATGCAGACACAAAAGACAAGATCTGAACAAAACAAAACCCAACCCTGTTAGGTGGTAGTGCATGGGTGCGTGTCTGTAATCCCAGCACCAGGGAGGACGGGGCAGGAGGATTATTGCCAGTTTGAAGCCAGCCTGGGTTACATGTAAGTTCCAGGCTAGCCAGGCTTTAGGGTTAAGACCCTGTTTCAAACAAAGCACAGTATGGGACTGGAGAAAGGACTCAGCCTTGGTAAAGTGCTTACTTGAGTTCGGATCCCCAGCACGCACGTAAAAAGCCACAGGTGTAGTGGTTTGCTTCTGTAACCCAGCCGCGGGTGGGAAGGGGTGGGGTGGGGCGAGGAAACTGGAGGATCCCCCCAGCCCCAAGCTTACAGGACTGCAAGCCTAGCCAATCAGCGAGCTCCGGATTCAGTGACCGACCCTGTCTCCAAAAATAAGGTGGAAAGGGATAGAAGCAAGACCTCCGGCCCGCGACAACTCGCACGAACACGTACACACACATACAAAACCAAAGCCCAAATCCTCAAAACAAAAACTCCTTAGTGGACGAGGTCCCCTCCGCCACGCTCTCTCAGCACAGCGAGCTACAAAGGGACGCTTTGGCTAACCTGGAGCGCGCAGGAATGCACAAAGGGTTAACAGGAGTTGGCCCAGGGTGGAGAGGCGGGGACGAGTTTCCATTGGTGGAAAGTTATCCAGGGGTGTGGTCTCAGAGTCTCCGCACCCCACCTCCTCTCCGTCCCCCCCCCCCCCCCCTCCACTTTTGTACCTTTCTCGCCGGGACAGAGAAGCGGGCCGGGACCAGCCGGGCCAGACCAGACTGGACCCCAGGGGCGATGCGGCTGCTGCCCCTGCTGCGGACTGTCCTCTGGGCCGCGCTGCTCGGCTCGCGCCTGCGGGGGTGCTCCAGCCTCCGCCACCCCGTCTACTGGAACTCCACTAACCCCAGGTAGCCCGGCCGAAGGAGGCGAGCGCCAGGCTGGGCCCGCGCGCTCCCCAGCCGTGCGCGCACCCGCCGCTCGCCTTTTGCAAGGCGCTGTCTGAGCCCTGCCCAGCCGCGCGCCGGGGCTCCTTTGTTTGAGCCGGCGGGGGAGGGGCGAGGCGTGCCTGGGGTCCCCCCGCCCGAACGTGTTGGGGGGCGGGCGGAGGACCCTAGTCCTGAGGGTAGTCTGGGGGAGTCTGGAAGCGGGGAGCTGGGGGGGCCCGGGCCCGGAGTCCGGGCCCCGCCCCCCTTTTCTGGTGAGCCCCAGCCGCCGGCCGGCAGGAGCTGGGGCGGACCGCTGAGAACCCGGGAGGGGTCTTTGCCCTAGAGAAAGAACGTGAGTTCCTCCCCGGTTCCCAGGCCCCCTCGGCCCCTGATTTCGTTTGATTATCTCTGCTTCCATCTTGATTTTATGTCTGTCCAATCCTGGCCTTGCCCTTCCAGCTGATTCACCTGTGGGCCAGTCATTTGACCTCGCTAACCTCAGTTATGTCATCTACAAAATGGGCTAATAATACCCAGTACCCTGGGAAGCAAGCGGACTGACTGAGGTCAGGCTTGTGAAAAGAAGTACAGCTGTACAGATTGAAATGTGTGTCTCTTCCCCTCTGCTGAGCTGGCTGCCTTTGAACCTCGGTATTTTTTGCTGTTTGCATCCCGCCTCCCGTTTCTCCCTGCCTCTCTGCCTTCCCCATCTGTTTTCCTTTCTGATTTTTCTACTTCAGACAATCTGTGGCTCTGTTCGTTTATTCACTATCGTTTGATAAGCACATACTGTGTGTCAAGACTAGTGCTGATCTGCTGGGCATTACCAATGTGAGAGTCCAAAACACTGCCCTGTGGGAAGCCACAGACCCCCAGGAGGGCAGGCCCAAGATCGTCATTCCAATACCAGGGCTGGGTGATAAGAGCTATTGTTGCCCTGAACTCTGGCTTCTTCTATCTCCTCCTAACTCTGGCTTCTACTATCCTGACCGGGGCCTCAGCCCCCAGCTCTTGAATTTCTGGTTCATTCACCAAATCCACAAGTATTTATTGGGCTCTGGCTTTGTGGGGGTGCCTTTCCACACCCAGTGTAATGAAACATATGAAGACGCTATCTTCCTTCAGCTTGCCTTCTAGTGGTCTGAGCTAAGCCCGAGAATCCTTCTCATCAAGAGTCCCTACAGCAGGTGGTCCTCGGCCACCCACTGAAGGACGTTTAGAGGCCTTTGCTAGATCATGCTTTACTGTGTGCGTGGTGTTGGAGGCAGGATTCATTCAGTATTTGGTGCTGTGGGGGTGGCCTGTCCTGGCCCTTCTCTCCTGTACTGATTCCCCCAGGCTGCTTCTGAGAGGTGAGGAAGAGGAACTGGACTGTGTGGAGGTGGGGGTGGGGGTGGGGGTTGTCTTTTATACCTAGCATTGTCTGGCCAAAAAAAAAGGAAGTTGGACGGTGTGTGGTGGCTCATGCCTGTAATCCCAGTCTTCCCAAGGCTGAGGCGGCACGTGGGGGCTCACCACCTCGGCAACACCAGCTCCAGACCAGCCACCACCTCTGGCCTCTGCTGGCGCTTCCACTCACATCACGTACCCATGTACATACACATGCATGATTTTAAAAAATGATATAGTAATAAAAAAAGACCGAGAGGAGGTGGGAAGATCATGGGTTCAAGGCCAGCTTGGGCTGCATAAGATGCCCCCCTAAAAGGAGCCACTTACCCCTTGTCTTTTGACTAGGCCTGTTTCTCCCTGCGTGGGGTACTGAGGATCCCAAGAGCTCTGACTTCCTCTGTGACTATTCTGTGGGCATGTATCTGTTCCCCTGCCTTGGCCTCAGCCTCCTGGCGGCATCCATCCCCTTAGCATTTATCAGGCACGGATGGTGGGCCAGGCCCGATGGGGGGCGATGGGCTGCAGGGAAGGTCTCCTCAAAGATTGGGTAGGCTGATGGCCGCCTCACCCATAAGGAAGCCTTATGGGCCGGGCACTACAGCCCCTTAACCCCTCTAAAAGGGACTTGAGCGTCACATTTATTACCTAGACACTGTCTCTCAGGGAGGTGTGCAGTCTAGGAATTGGCACAGGCCTGTAATCTCAGCTACTTAGAAGGCTAGGGAAGGAGGATCATAGGTTCAAGGCCTGCTTGAACTATAGTGAGTTCAAGGCCAGCCTGGGCAACTTGGCAAGCCCCTGTTCCAAACGGAAAAGTTAAAAGGCTAGTCATAGCTCAGTGGTGGGGCACTGAGCATGCGGGCCTCAGATTGTATCCCAGCTACCAAAAGAGGGGGAGAAGATTTTGAAAAGGGCTGGGTCGTTCTTGGAAACACGTGTCTTCCTGAGCTATCCCATCTCTAGTGGGTGAGAGAGGCCGGCTCAGACCCCACAGCTGTCCCATTGTGCTAGGCTGTAACCCATCAGCCCACGCTCCCTTGTCCCCGCAGGCTGCTTCGAGGAGATGCCGTGGTGGAGCTGGGCCTCAACGATTACCTAGACATCTTCTGCCCACATTATGAAAGCCCGGGGCCCCCGGAGGGCCCTGAAACCTTTGCTTTGTACATGGTGGACTGGTCGGGCTACCAGGCCTGCAAGGCACAGGGGGCAAACGCCTTCCAGCGATGGAAGTGCTCTCTGCCTTTTGCTCCCTTTGGCCCTGTTCGCTTCTCCGAAAAGATTCAGCGCTTCACACCTTTCTCCCTGGGCTTCGAGTTCTTGCCTGGAGAGACTTACTACTACATCTGTGAGTGAGCAGGCATACTGCATGCCTCTGGGTGTGGGGGTGGGGTGCAGGGGAGGAATGGGCTCTTTGCCTTCACTTCTTGTTAAAGGAAGGAGGAAGGAAAGGCTGTGGGGAAGGGAGCTGTGGCTCCTGAGCCTCAGGGGTTTGGTTTGAGTCTGGGACAAGGTAAGGAACCGTCTCAGCCGAATCTGTGCCGAGAAGAGTACAGAAAGCAGGGATGAGGACTAGAGAGATGCCGAGAGGCGTGGATGAGCCGGTCCTCGGTGTGACTCCCAAAGGAGATAAGCAAAGGAGGCCTGAAATGGTCTGACTCCAAGGGATGCTTTTCTGTGCTGACTTCTTCCTCCCAATTGCCCATCAGCGGTGCCAACTCCGGAGAGTTCTGGCCGGTGCCTGAGACTCCAGGTGTCCGT